ATGATACTATCTGAAGGCATACCATTATCCAAGAGGTACAAAATGACAGATTGTTTTTCACTTTCTGCATTTTTTAAAGAAATATTATGCCCCAATGTGTTGTGATGACTAATATCTCGTTAACCACATTACCCACATACGTGAAAATATGGATATGGCTTTGCTATTGATCCCTTCAAAATAAAATGGAAGCTTTTCTAACATTGGACATCGAGAATATATGTTAGGCCGACTACATATGAGACGCCCCTCGTATTCCTGTCTAGCCCGCTGAGAGCAAAATGGCGCAGTTTAACATTGACAACCAAATCCACAGAATTTGCCAAAAATATGACCTTGAAGTCTCTCGCTTTTGAAGTTTGTCACCTCTTTACATCCATTAAAATAATCACTCACCGGTGAACATCAACACGGTGCACAGCAATCCGCTGTTGGAGAACGTCATCTGTAGCGTTATAGTTGTACCGAGAGTAAGACAGGAGTTTGACAGGAGTGTAGAACTACCTCATGGTTTTACAAGTAATGATGTTGACATTGATACCGAGGACATGACACCGAGGACATGACACCACGATAATGTACTGATATCGAGAAGACAATATGGCTGATGTTTTGATAAAGCTGGAACCCAGTCAACCGTCATCTACACTATCTGTTCTTGGAAGGAAGATATGAACTTGAAATGATATGCACGCAATGTGAACAAAATATACTCAACAAAAAAAGTGAAGGACCGCCCCGATATTCAATATTTGATCATAATATGAACTATTAAATACTTTGATATTGAAAATTGGGGTGGTCCTTAACATTTTGTTGTTGAGTATACTTGAGTAAATGTAATGTTTTAATGCGTCGCGTTGACAACAAAAGAAACATAATTCCGTGTTGCTATCAGAGTTCTGCTTTCATTGTTTTGTTTATATGTTTGTGTGCGTGCATTTGTGTCTTTGGCTTTTCATTTTTGTGTGTGACTTTCTGGTCCTTGGATTTTGCCAAATAAACGTGAAATATTTGATATGAACCTTTAACTATGTTTGGCATATCTTCCGGGCCAAATGTTAGGAAACTTGTTGTTATACAGTAAAGCCTACCATGCAGTAAGGTTTCGACAAACACTTATAGTGTTCATAATAAGACGGACTCAGATCAAAGAGTATTTGTGGTGCTGTAAAGCAGTCATCTACACGATCTTGCTTTCATCACAGATGATGGCGCTGTCCTTTGTGACACCAATATTCAAACGACCTGTCGATTTCGTTTTTAAAGATTAACAACTTCTTTAATTTTGTACTCGAATGTTACTTTATCATCATTTTCTACGGTGATGGAACAGATGGTAGCCAGATGAAAGTGTCTCAGTTAATAAGCGACAGTTTGTTGGACAGTTGGAAAACAAGATTTTATTTATGCATTTAAGCATTATGCATAATTAAATAAACTGATAATGCAAGTTTACGCTGAATGTTACACCTGATATTTCACCGCTTTGAAATATATTTTTCATTAGAAAAAGATTCGAAAATTGTTAAAACGTCGTGTAGATTTCAGGTACGCTTTGTGTAAGCCGCTGTCAGCTTCACTCCAATTATTACTATACAGGTAATTCACTGTGGGAAGGTAAATCGATGGTTGATAGGCATACACCGTCGAGAGGCATGGCTAACACCCAGGCACGTCACAAAGCCTGAAAAGTATCCGATATCGAATCCCTTGGAGGTGCTTACACAACAACTGACTGTTTCTATTAAAGTGAATATTAATCTGCCTTCTACATCTTGAAATATGGAGAACCCGGGTTTGGAAGCCCTGCAGTGAAAGTGTTTGCTCGTCACGCCAAGGACCGGTTTTCTATCTCATCAAGTTTACACTGTGATAAAGCCATGTAACTATGGCTAAAAGATGATTTACATGTCTAACTCGTACGATTATATCAGTCCACACTTAAAGGTGTGGAATGTAACTCAAAACAAAAAAGAAAACGTCAAGATCATCGCCCAGTATGATTTAAACAGGGAACTGAAGGGATGTTATGCCAAGTCCTGTTTACATCACATGCACAAAACCGATGGTGTTTAACGCCATTTCACAATATTCAACCCTTATCGCACAAACATTTCCCTTATCATGTATGAACAAGACAACCAGTGGTTGATAAGTGAGCATCAATCCACGCCATTAATCTTCCGCCCTCACCCGTGAATATCCGGGTTAGAATTGATCTTCAGTAAGTGAGTGAGTTAAAATGTAAAGACACTTTGGCAATATTTCAGCCACATCGTGACTGATCTTCAGTAACCCAGGCTTGTCGTAAGAGGCGACTAACGGAATCGGGTGGTCAGGCTCACTGACCTGGGTGACACATGTCACACATCCCAATTGCATAGATCGATGCTCATGAGACTGATCTGGCATTTTGAATGCGGCCGAAACAATTCAGCTTATTAGAACCCAGCATGTCAATTTTGGGTGGATGAGTTTGTTTGTGAATTTGGCCTTCATTATCAGTGATATTTCAGAATTTGTAACAAACATTGAGGTAATAGCCAGATAATATGGCCCTTGATAGAATCTAACATTACAACGAATACATTAGCTGCACATTTATAGTAGGTCCCGGCTACCCCAGAGATGCTGAGAGTAATCAGGTTGATTGCATTCAAATGGTGTAATCACCAACTTCCTGTGACCCTCACCTTATTCGTAGGTCATGATCACTCACAAACCTTTCCTACGCCTCGGTGTAGTTTCTAACACTATTTTTATCATCAAGCAAGTGGTGAACAGAATAAGCATAGAAAGGCATATATACAAGTGTGAGGAGATGTTTGTGAGTGAATGAGTGAGTTAAGTTTTACGCCGCTTTTAACAATATTCCAAAAAGATCATGGCTGGGTCACCAGAAATTGGTTTCACACATTGTAGCCATGTAGGGAATTGAACCCTGGTCTTCGGCGTGACGAGCGAACGCTTTAACCACAGGACTACCCTACCGCCCTTGGAGAGATGTTTATCCAATACAATAGGGATTAAGACTGCAATGTCATAGGCAAGCCAGTTAACAAATTAACAACAAATAGATAGAAGCGTTGACACATGCAGCTGCACAGAGACGAATACTCAAAGCATAATCTCCATGTCAGACTCGCTGACTTGGTTGATACATGCCATCGTATCCCAACTGCGTAGATCGTTGTCTATGCTGTTCATCACTGAAGTGTCTGGTGCAGACACTATTAAAAAAGAAATGCATAAGCCATTTTTAGAAGGATTTATTGCGTTAATTTAAAGCGATTATTTCATGTCAATTCAAAAATGGTAAAAAGGCGACAATTCACAGTCTATAGTCAAAGGGTTCGTCAACACACCAACAGCCTTTACTGTTGTGTTTCTGTTTACTTGAGTAGAAGAAGATGGCGTCAAATTCAGTATTTTGTATGGCCATCATTGGCAGCAATTACTGCTCGGCACTGTCTCGGCACAGACTGGATAAGTTGACGTAGTCCCCAATCTTCCTGCAATTCGATGGCAAGTTGTGGAAGTGTCTGAGGCCTGTTTTGATGTAGACGTCGATCGAGTTCATCCCATAGGTGTTCTATCGGGTTTAGATCTGGTGATAGGGAAGGCCATGGCAAGAAATTGACGTTAGAATTGGCAAGGTAGCGGATCGTAACGCATGCTGTATGTGAAATAGCGTTGTCATGCTGGAACAACTCCCTTTGGAACTGTCGGTCCATGATCGGAAGCAAAAAACGTGTAATGACTTCGTTGACCCCACACCATGACACCCCACACCATGACACTGTCTCCGCCGAATCTGTTGACAACGTCTGCCTTTTTATAGTGATCGATACCGAATGCTTTTCCGCTTACTTGCACGTGCATTTTCTTGGTGACGTGTGGTGAATATTTCTTCAAACGCTTATAAAACAAGGGGAAAAAGTTAAAATTGTTGCGTTTTGGCTCTGAAGCTCGTTCCAATCACACAAAGATGACATTTTGGAAAGAAATAGTACATTTGTATTGTTTTTGCTGCAGTTACATGAGTCCAATATTCTCAAAATCACCTTAGCGTTTCTTCTTTTTTTTGAAGCGTGTAGCAGGAACATTGCTGAGGGCGATGTTAGACGAGAAACAAACAAATAAATGTTAATGAGCCTAAAATCATGCTGGCATGTCTATCTCAGTATCTAGGTTGTTATTATCAGTTGAATACGTTTTAGGTATCACAAAAGTCCACATTCTTGTATTGGTGCTTGTATTGAAACAGATCCAAGTTTCCATAGTTTCCATATTTTCCATAGTTTCCATATATGTTTGAAGACAGATACGTCTTCACTTCTTTTCATACCACCAGTCGAGCATTTAACTCTTTCTTCACGCAGTAATATCAAAGTAAAATAAATTATAGCTGTCACAAAGACGATCTTTCATGCATGCATTGTTGGTTTTCATGTTCATCAAGTGAAACTTCAAATGAGTGGCATTTTAGAAGTTGGTAATTGCAATATTGACAAACTTTTTGGAAAACAAAACCGAAATGACGCACTAACAAAACAAAAGAAGTTGCTGTCAATACAAACAGTCTGTTCTGCTACCTGAAGACTTTGAACATGAGCACATTACACATTTATGAATAAAAACCTTTAAATTCTTTAACAAAACCCTTCAAGGAAATTAAATTGTGACGTGTTATTTCTACTCCGCTACATATAATTCAACTGGGCTGGAGGGAAGTTGCATTGATATTGACTCGCACTTGTTTTGTATTTTGTATTTGTATTTTTTTCAGGATTTACAGTTTTGTATGCACCACAGGAGCACATGTATACATAGGACAATATGTTGGTCATGATATCTTAGCGGACAACCAATAGAAAACCGACATTATAACTACTACAAGCAGCAACACGCACTTGCTATAGCAGTTAAATATTCATGAACGCCTCACTTCGCTTCACCTCTGGTTGATTGATTCATCTCTATGGCCGGTCGAGAAAGAAAGTGAGCAAATTTCTTTCTGCAGAACTCACGAAAACGGACGCTTTAAGTACGCGCGACTCGAATAGGTGAGGATCCTAATAAGGTATTGTGAAACATTCTCATTATTCATTTGCCGTGGCACATGTTTGAAAATTAGACAAAGTCTTTTGTGGGAAAGTGCACCCGGAACTACGTAAAGGTAACTACGGAAGCGTCCTAGTGCCACAGTCTGAATTTTTTTATCTCCTAATTAGGAGATGCTATCTCCTAATTAGGACTTACTATCTCCTAATTAGGACTTAGCTATCTCCTAATTAGGAGATAATATCTCCTAATTAGGTGATACTATCTCCTAATTAGGAGTTACTATCTCCTAATTAGGACTTAGCTATCTCCTAATTAGGACTTAGCTATCTCCTAATTAGGAGTTACTATCTCCTAACTAGGTGATACTATCTCCTAATTAGGACTTAGCTATCTCCTAATTAGGACTTAGCTATCTCCTAATTAGGACTTAGCTATCTCCTAATTAGGACTTAGCTATCTCCTAATTAGGAGATACTTTCTCCTACTTAGGTGATACTATATCTTAATTAGGACTTAGCTATCTCCTAATTAGGACTTAGCTATCTCCTAATTAGGACTTAGCTATCTCCTAATTAGGACTTAGCTATCTCCTAATTAGGAGATAGTATCACCTAATTAGGAGATAGTATCACCTAATTAGGAGATAGTAACTCCTAATTAGGAGATAGTATTTCCTAATTAGGAGATAGCTAAGTCCTAATTAGGAGATAGCATCTCCTAATTAGGAGATAAAAAAATTCAGACTGTGGCACTAGGACGCTTCCGTAGGTAACAGATCATGCCGACGCTTTGGTTTCTTTTTCCATAGGTATATTAGATATTACATATATTACCCGTGAAGATCCGGGTTAGAATTGGTCTTCAGCAACACATGCTTGTCGTTTTATAAGAGGCGGGGATCGGGGTCTAACGGGATCCGGTGGTCAGACTCGCTGACTTGGTTGACACATGTCATCGTATCCCAACTGATGCTCATGCTGTTGATGACTGGATTGTCTGGTTATATTAGATATTGATTTCTGACATTGACTCTGGCACTTTACAAGGCTCCTCCCTCCATTGATGGCACACGAATGTGTTCAAGGTGGTCACTTCCGATTTTCAGTTGAACAAATATAAACGTTTGTACTCACGGTAACTGCATTGCCAATTGTTTTCAAATGTATCGACAGGAGCGGTGGGACATAATCTGTCGAGGGATTATAAGCTTGGAGGGGCAGTGGGGTAACCTAGCGGTTAAGGCGTCCACTCTTCACGCTGAAGCCCCGGGTTCAATTCCCCACAAGGGTGCAATGTGTAAAGTCCATTTCGTGTGTCCCCCGCCCTGATATTGCTGCAATATTTCTGAAAGCAGCGTAAAACTAAAACACTCACTTACTATAAGCTTGGATCTAGGCTTCACTTCCAGACTTTGACTGACCCCCAGGGTGGTGTTTACAAAAGGAGACAGCCCGAAACTATAGATATAAGAAGGCTATATTTTTGTTATACACGCTCATGACACTTCAGTAACGTATCTCACTTCAAAAGAAATGTTTGCAAAAGCGGCAGCCTTTTAACACATGTACACAGTTTACAAAAAAGTCAAATTGTGTATTGTTATTCCGAAAGCAATGTGCAATGTGAATAAAGCATCTAACTAAACACAAATACTAAAGGCAAATACATGTCTAATTTCAGACGAGATAATCATGAAGGTAATATGCCTTACACTTGAAATGCTGCGAGCAGTTATGTGACAGCACTTCCGTTGGGATATTGTGCTTACAAAAGTAAACATCCTGAAACTATAGATATAAGAAGGCTTTATTATATGTTGTACACGCTCATCACGCTTCGGTAACGTATCTCACTTTAAAAGAAATGCTTGGAACATTGCGCATGTACACACGTGTTGCACTGTGAAACAGAGTTTCCCAAAAGTCACATTGCGTATTGTAATTCCAAAAGAAATGTTTGCAAGCAAAAATGCACTACTGTTACAAGAAGTAAAGCCTTCCTGAACTGGCGGAATGGCACTCCTTGGGTACCAAATGTTTACTTCTAAAGAAAGCACAGGGGAAGTATGTTTTTCCGGTTCCATAACCTCGTTGGCGTCTCAGTACAATTCACAATTATGTTCCTCCGCCAAGTCTTCCCCTCTTGTATGTAGTATAAGGTATGAAAGTATGAAAAATATATAAATTGAGCTTATCAACAACACTTATCTCTGTGCTTCCAACATTGCAGGCACAAACCCAACTCACTCACTCACTCACTCCATGCATTGTTGCAGGTACTATGGCTACAGGGTTATTGCTGTCTGTGATCCTGTCCGATGTTCTTGACAACAGTCTCAATATAGCCGTGACAAACAGTATTTTCAATTGTGCGATACGGTGTTACTCAAGTGGTTGTTCCTCTTTCTTCTATAACAAAGCGACTCACCAGTGTGCCATATCACCGCACACATATCGCCATGGAAACATTGTGTTGGCATCCAACACGGGAATGAAGCTGTACTCTTGGAATCTGGGTAGGTGGTGAAGCTAGGTCAGTAATGATATATATACTAGGCGTCATTAATAAAGGGTAACATGACATATATCACATGTAGAGAAGAGTTTCTCAGTAATAATAGAACTAAGAGTATCATCATAAAGTTTAATGTGTTGATAAACGTGACACATTGTGACATACAGACAGAATGTTCAAACAGCACTAGCAAACATCAGTTGTATTGACCAACAAACATACCCCCCACACACTGTCTGGTAAGATTACCGTCGACCACGTGCAGTGGAGTACGTCCAGTAGGAGTTATCCCTGCCTAAACCATGACTGACCCCCGCCTAATTGGTTATGCGTGGCCACAGTTGCATCTGTGATTCGCTCTCCATTACGACAATAAATCCTCTGCCAACCATCATGAAAGGACTTGAAATTCATGAAAGTTGAATCTGCTTTCACATGTGAAGAGCACACGAGACCATTGACATTGATTCTAGCGTCCATGATGTCTACTCCATCTCAAACGCGCCTGCCTGTGACGTGGTGTTAGTGGTGGACGAAGTGCAGGTTGCCTACAGTGTAGTCCGGCTGCCCTGTAACGTCGACGAACGGTGCGCCTGGATATCCTTACATTGTTAACATTGAAGTGTTTTGTCTGAAGATCTGCTGCGTTAAGGAATCTGCAACGTATCGCAGAGTTAATTATGTGGCTATCATCTCGCGCAGTTGTGACTCTGGGGCGACCTGGCCGACGTGCATATTCCACGGAACCATTGGCTTGATTCCAAAAGGCCTATAGCCTGACCCCATTCAGCAAGTTTCAAAAACGTCTCATTTTAAGCTGCGATTTCAAGCAGGTACCTGAACAGTGAACGACGGTGAAAAAACTAAGCATTGTCCTCCACTTTCCATGGATAGAGCGACTTACACGTGCAAATCATTGACATTAAGTTGCGGGTGGATTTCCATATTGACAATTTGAATAAAAAATGTGCCATTTGTAACAGAATGTATCGGACGTTAAAGAACGTAATAATGACATTTCAACTGCCTGATGTATTTTTCAATACTGTTAAGAAAGTTTGTTATACATTCAGTTGTATATATTTCAAACCAAAACGAAGGTGTTACAACTTTTAAGAAATAGTGTTACCAATAGCTTGACCCTTCATAAGTGACGCCGAGTATATAAGACCGTCCAGATCCGGGTTAGAGTTGGTCTTCAGCAACCCATGCGACTAACGGGATCGGGTGGTCAGGCTCGCCGACTTGGTTGACACATGTCATTGTCTCCCAACTGCGTAGATCGATGCTCATGATGTCAATCACTGGATTGTCTAGTCCAGACTCAGTGATTTACAAGCCGCCATATAACTGGAATATCTCTGAGTGCAGCGTTAAACAAAGAAAACTTCTATACTTATAAGAGGCCAATATATTGCCGACGGGACAATTCCTTTAAATAAACAGAGACAAAGCCCTTTCCATTCAATCTCGCAAATAACCTCTCCCCAAAAAAAAAAAAGAGGACACAACTGATTTATTTTCGACTTTGTCTGGTTAACAATTTAGTTCATCCATAAAACTGTTTCAGATGGATGTTCGTTATCAGATGGTTGGACTTACCACCCTCCCTCTAATCTCTGCTACAAGCGCAGTGATTACAAAGTAAACATTACCATGGCAGAGACCTTGTGTAGAGAAGCTGGAGCAAGACTTGCTGTCGTCGACACTGCCGAGAAGAACGACCATCTCCTAACATTACATCTGATTTCAGGTGAATATGAATTTTTACGCTGCTTTTAGCAATTTTGAATGATCCTGCAATATCACTGCCATACATTGGCTTCACACATTGTAGCCATATGGGTAATCGAACACAGGTCTTCGGTGTGTCGAGGGAACGTTTTGACCACAATGCTACACCACGTCCCCAGGTGAATAGAATTCATATTCATTTTCACAGGTGATTATAAATACTCCTCAGCTGCCCAACAGCATAGGTGTTCTGAGTCTGGTGACTAATGTCGACGTCAGTGACAGGAGATTTAAAATTGTAGACGGCCAAGCATCGACATTAAATGTATAAGTTCCAAATATTATCGTATTTGGATCACATATTGCAAAGCTTGATATTGTTTTGGTGGAAGACTCTTGCCTTTGAAGTACATGTATGTATATCATTCATACCAGCTATCGTTTCTTCAATTCAGTTTAAAATATACTACCCATCAAAACTTTAAACTCACTAGTGTAAATGTAGCCAATTACCTCAGTCAACTGTTCTGAACTAAATTTTGCAAAAGATTCCATACTGTATAAAGGTACTGTTTACACATGAACTGATGTATTGCAGAGAAAATTCGTAACGTTGAAATGATTATTGTCATGAGTTCAATAAATGATGAAACTCAGTGAAAATTGGCGAATTCTTAACAAACTTTACACCAAAACGCATCAGTTCAAATTTACGATATTTTTATATGCTTTTCAGCAATTTGATGCATGATCCTCGTGCAATTCATCTCCATAAGGTTTGCAGTTGGTTCCCTCAAGTTAATGGAGAAATTCATCTTCGATGTAACTATATGTATGTACATAACATATAGTGAGTGCTTTAAATGAGTCTAAACTTTTGATGGGTAGTAAAGAATCTTTCATGTTCAGCCTTTTTTTTCTTTTTTAAACATAACTTTACTGTTCACATACTCCTTCCGTCTGACGATAGTGTTTATCTAGCACTCATATACAAATTTACCACTGGATGATACAAAAAGCATTTTCTTATCGAAAATGATATATCGTGGAGCGGTTTGTTTGTGTTTACATCCATCTTTTTCGATTACATATTTGACTTTGGAGAAATGTTGCACGAATGAGCTGTGCGGTGGTATCTCGTACATGACATGTCGATCCTGTTTTATACATGGCCCACAGTTCAACCATAAGTGAAGCATATTTTTTCCACATAATCGAATTGGATATGTAGTGCATGACGAATGTATTAGGCTGCCATCAATGAATTTTGTTCATTCTACTGAACCTATCTGATTTGTAGAGGTTTGGATTTTGTTATAAATTTTGCTTACATTTCATTATTCATGTATAATCTTTCTGATGTAATACGCTGGCTGTACAGGAAAACGTGAACAATTACGTAAATCGTATCTGAACGCAGTCAAAAGCTTAAAATCTGGTTCATTCATTTGCAGGATTTTTGCACTTCTTCCCGAGAGGACCTCTTCACTTCACGACTGCTTTCCGTCGTATTGAATATTGAATACTTGGAAATTATTGTTTTGTAAATTCATTTTCACAATCCAGTTATTGGCTCCTTCCGTATAGCTCTAATAACAAATCGTTCATCATCTTTCTACGATTTCAGGTCAGGTGTCTTGGATTGGGCTTCGTAAAGTTTCTGGAACGTGGAAATGGAGCAACGGAGAAACACTTGGACCTTTCATGGCCTGGAAATCCCCTCATCCAGTAAATGGCAAGGAGTGTGGCGTTTTGTCAGGATTTTTGCAAGGATGGTCATCATTTAACTGTCTCACTGATTCTGATGTTAACTATATATGTGATAAACAGATGAAAGATGGCGTGATGAATTTAGGTGTGTAAGGTGGAAAACAAGACATTAACGCAATATTATAAGTTGTATGCTTCTCTCGAGGGTAATATACGGCCTGATGTACGCCTCTTTGTAGCAGTGTTACCCGAGCCGGTAGGCGAGAGGCAGACGCTGTTTGTTTACATGCCATGTATTTGGTAGCGATCTTCCAAAGAAATAAAATGTTATTTTGTACATGAATGTAAAAATAAATACGTTGTATGCTTCTACCTCGGGTAATACGGTCTGATGTACGCCTCTTTGTAGCAGTGTTACCCGAACTGGTATCATTTTATTTAGAAGACCGCTACCGACTATATGTCATGTAAACAAAATGGCGTCTGCCTCTCGTTTGGATTTTTAAATTCAGTGAAACATATTCTGACAAGCTTAAAACTGCTATAACAATTGTTAATGATGTTTAAGTTGAGCGTGCAAACGATTCAATGTATAAAATAATTCAAATAAAGTAGTGAAAGTCGGTGAAATAAATGGCTACATAGTGAACTCAAAAACAGCTAATCGAACGGTTTTCAAACTCCAGGCACTGCATGCGTCATATTATGACGTCATACGATTGTTAGCGATACAGCTTCTCGGCGGAGAGTTTGGCGGTTACCGTGGCAGCGGGTAATATTTTTTCCAGTTGTCACCCTCCTGGGAGGGGTGACACAGAAACTTGTTAAAGCGTCATTGATCAATGAAATTAAGTATAAAGTATGTAACATGAGGGAAAGGTAATATTTTTTAACGAACACGTCGGATTTGTTCATGCTTGCAAACCTCCCTCTTACACTACTGAGGTTATTAGTTGTCACACTTCTTTAAACGACAAATCTTTTAATTGGTCTATGGCAACCCATGCCTGTCGTAAGAAGGGCCCAACGGGTCAGACTTGCTGAATTGGGTACTAAATGGTATCGTGACCCAGTTGCACAGATCATTGCTCATGATCTCAATCATTGGACTATCCGACCCAGACTCGATTGCGTACAGTCTGTTGTCAGAGTGCTGACACACACTTATACGATGTGAATGGAAAATTGTAACATGGGTAAAAAACCCACTTCCGTAATTTAGATCCGGTGATCTGGAATCTGACAGGTACTTTACCGTACCGACTCTAGTGACTAGATTCCCTGGAATCTGACAGGTACTTTACCGTTCCGACTCTAGTGACTATATTCCCTGGAATCTGACAGGTACTTTACCGTTCCGACTCTAGTGACTAGATTCCCTGGAATCTAACAGGTACTTTACCGTACCGACTCTAGTGACTAGATTCCCTGGAATCTGACAGGTACTTTACCGTTCCGACGCTAGTGACTAGATTCCCTGGAATCTGACAGGTACTTTACTCTACCGACTCTAGTGACTAGATTCGCATGAATCTGAGTGGCCCTTTACCGTACCGACTCTAGTGACTAGATTCTCTGGAATCTGACAGGTACTTTACCCTACCGACTCTAGCGACTAGATTCCCTGGAATCTGACAGGTACTTTACTCTACCGACTCTAGTGACTAGATTCCCTGGAATCTGAGTGGCCCTTTACCGTATCGACGCTTTGACTGGATTCCCTGGAATCTGAGTGGTTCTTTACCCTACCGACTCTAGTGACTAGATTCCCTGGAATCTGACAGGCACTTTACTCTACCGGCTCATGTGACTAGATTCTCTCGAATCTGACAGGTACTTTACCCAACCAACTCTAGTGACTATATTCTCTGGAATCTGAGTGGTCCTTTACCGTACCGACTCTAGTGACTAGATTCCCTGGAATCTGACAGGTACTTTACTCTACCGACTCTAGTGACTAGATTCGCATGAATCTGACGGGTGCTTTTCCTGACCGACTCTAGTCTATAGATTCGCATGAATCTGACAGGTACTTTACCATCTATAGCTAGTATTTCATTCTTTGTAAATTTGGAATCTGCTAACGACACTCTGTCTGTTCAGTCCTTAGCAGCAGTATGTCACACGATGTTAAGAAGTGAATGAACTCATCTGGCACTTCGGTACTTATTGTCAATTTGTTTACATTCATTGTATTTTGGATACACTTTTCAACACTCTTGTAAACACAATAGAATATTTCTGTTTTGAGCATATTTTCATGTATAGATGCCTTCGGGTCTAGAATCTCTTGGTACAACCAGTATAATACAGTATAAAAAATTGATTTTTGAAAGGTTTAAAGACTTGATAATAGGGTAAACACAGTCTCCATCATATGCCTCGCACAACATCAAGATCAGAGGTTGAGTGAAGATCATGTTTTCGACACAATTCTTTCACCTAAAGAAATGTCAGAATATGTTCCAACGTGTCCTGGAATATCATGAAGAGTAGTATTAACAGTGGAACATAAAAGGTGTGTTTGTTGTTTAACGTCATATCCAGTAATATTCCAACTGTGCGAGTGGAATGTCTGATGTCCAAAACAATAAAGTTGTTGATATACTGTCTGAGAATAGTTTTGTTGTAAATGATATTCATCTATATAGTTTAGTTTTGTAGTATTAGTTAGTCACGAAGAATAGTATTAATAGTGGAACATTAAAGGTGTGTTTGTTCTTTGACGTCGCATCCTGTAATATTTCAGCTGTGCGAGAGCAGTGTCTGAGGTCCAAATGTCTGCGGTCCAAAACAATACAGCTGTTGATATACTGTCTGAGACTAGTTTTGTTGTAAATGATATTTATCTATACGGTTTAGTTTTGTAGTATTAGTTTCAATTTTCAAAAGTAGTTTCGCAACTTAGTATATACTCTGTGCTTCTGGATAATTTTTTTCTGTACAGTAAGTGGTTGGGTTAATGCCAGTGTTTTGTCGGTTGTTCTTAATTTCATTGGCTCGTTGAAACATTCATTTGTTCATTCAACCGTGAACCGTGACACTATGCCACTTTGAAATCAATAGACAATTTACAAGTGACAGCTCCTGAGACAAACAATAAGCAAAACACCTTTGTTAGACGTTCTGCTTCAAACACCTGGTGATATACTCGATGACTGTTGAGGCACTGAGTGACTTCAGTGTCAATAATTCAATCAAAAGAAAATACATGTCGTCAGTCAATTGTAGTCAGATACATTATGTACATTAATCTTTCAACATACAGAGTGAGTGAGTGAGTGAGTTTAGTTTTACGCCGCTTTTAGCAATATTCCAGCAATATCACAGCGGGGGACACCAGAAATGAGCTTCACACACTGTACCCATGTGGGGAATCGAACCAAAGTCTTCGGCGTGACAGGAGCGAACGCTTTAACCACTAGGCTACCCCACCGCCCTTCAACATACAGAGGTCTTGCTGGTTGAACATGTAAACAAATAATAAATCACATGACATGGGACTGCTTTAATGTTCAGACTACGTCATATCTTCAGGGAGAAAGGTAAATCCTCCATAAATAACGACCATGCTTTTTCTGAAACAAACACAGATGTCTTAAAACGTAGTATTCTCACTAAGGCACTTTGTTCACCATCAGTTTATGTTGATTTTAACCGTTACTGCATTTCCTTTGGTACATACACACTAACGCTTGTGCGATGTATTTAAATATTGGCAAACATACTTAGTTATTATTGACGTGCGTGAAGGCTTTACTGTTTACACTTAGCATTATTGCAGTGTGATATTGCGAGCAGGGAATAAGCTTTCCGGATGGAATGTCTCCCGAACAAGCAGCCCCACAAGCTGATATATTTAGTCGCCGTTAACGACGGGGATAGGGTCTATGAAAACAATCTTATTCTAAAAATATTATGATTGAAAGATTAACTTGAAGTTTTAAGACAACGTGTAACATGCCGGTTAAGTTGACACGTCTGAAGGGCCAAGACTAAGGACTTACTATTTTTGCTTTAAGGAGTAATTATCTGAATTGAAGTAAAAAACGTTAGATATATGACAATTATCTCGTAACCATCACTCATAAATAATAATTATTTTAGTGTTTAATTTAAATACGATATACGCATAGATTTAATCCGGGTGTTAAGCATTCTATATCACAAATGCGATATTTTACAAGAGAAACGACCGTCGTTGTTCTCAATTCTCGCCCATGTGTTAGAAGTTATGCTGGTGATTTCTGATGGGACAATTCCAGTGGCGTCATAAAGTTAATATTATTTGGTAGCAACCTCAAGAAGTTTTCTCATAAAACTTATGTCAATATGAAAGTCATATAATATGTCTGTAGGGATTGTTTTTCTGATCCACAAAAATAAACAATATTTTCAAATATTCAAATCTAAATTAACATTACATGAGTTACTATTTCAATACTAATTTATATAAGCGTCCCTTCAAATCTCACAATTAATACTTTTATCTGTGATATGCTCCAGTTATTAACAAACTACGATCTAGTCAAGTTGGTATGTCCGTGAAACATGCTCTTTTGATGTAATGATACTGTGTATATTTGGGACCATAAAACAATGTGACACTTATGCAGCAGTGTGTCAAGATCACCATTAGTGTAATATGTTATATTCTATGTCTGAGGTGTGAGAAATTGGGAGTGAAAAGAGGTTAGCTGGAGCAGTGATGTAAGCGTTGAGCGAGTGTTGGGGTGTGCAGTATGAGAGCCATTGTATGTATCTGGGTAGTAAGCTTGGGGTCAATCAAGTAGCTTGGGGGGTATATAAGGACTGAATATGGCAGCCAGTGAGTGTATGTGCGTTTGAATATTCAACTGGTGTGTATGATAATGTTAGTTATGGCAGCCAGAATATGACTATGAATTGTAATATATATATAGTAAATTATTGGTATTTCACCTTAAAGCATATAACTATAACTTAGGTGAAATATAGGTATATTATTGCTGTGGTTAGTAATATAATGGAATTGTGATCAGTATGTGACATTTTGAGAATGTCTTTAAGTTAGTATACTGGCATAATGATGATATTCATTCAGCAGGTCACGTGTAATGTATAGTGGTAGTGTTGTGTATTAAGTGACTGTAAAACAGCCCTGTAAACATATCCTGTGTATGTGATCTATATATATGTATATATATAGAAATATAGAGAGTGTACATGTAAAGTCACCAAGTAAAGGGTGTGCTTTTTGTATCCAGTGTCCGGGGTAGGTGTTACACCCCGTAAGGCTGTCCCGCCGATCGTTAGGGATCGACCCTGACATGCCGCCCGTGGATGTGAAGTAACATCTGTGTATCTCGGGAGAGGAACGTGCCCCGTCAGTAAGGCTGTACCAACTGATCAACAGGAATCAAATGGACATGCCGCCAAAGTATGTAGAGACTTACATGCAGGGGAAGGACCCCTAACCTACCACCAAAGACCTGAACTGTCTGGAAACCCCACATGTGGTGACAATAACATCGTCTGTGATGTATACAGCATGCAACTGATTCGTGCTTTTAATGAATTGTTTACTGATATCATCTTCCATGTACATGACATAATCATATGAATTGTTGTGTGTTTCTTTAAAAAGACAATTGTGGTGTTGTGATATTTTGAGTATTGATGTGAGTGTATGTGAGAATGTGTGAATGGTGAGGTATGATGTGCTTGTTTGGGTGTGTAGGGGGAAAGAGTGTGAGTGTGTTTAGTAATGCGAGAATGACGTTGTGGTGCAAGCCTATATTAACTATTGTAAATAGGGTAAATTTAGTTAATAAATTATATTAACTTTTAAATCTGGTTTTGTGTTTACTCTAGTATGTGACACAGTGGTTAATACAAAACCTAAATACTTTCTTTATGCACAAGCATGAAACGAATGGGGAATAAAGCTACAATTCTCTCCTGCAGATGAGTGAGTGAGTTTAGGTTTACGCCGCTTTTAGCAATATTCCAATATAATACGGCGGGGGACACCATTAATAGGCTTCACACATTGCGAATCGAATCCGGATCTTCGGCGTGACGAGCGAACGCTTTAACCACTAGGCTACCCCACCGCCTATGACCGATGCCATATGCCATTGTTGCACATCTACGCTGAATCAAGCATGAACACATTCAGGAGATATACATGTAGAAATATCATACGTGGCCATTATGTAAATCAAAGTACAAAACACTCTCCAATATGGATGATTACTTTCGTACACTTTTTTTATAACGGCATTAGGGATGACATGTTATGCATATTAGTATTTACTTATGCATAAGCTGATGGTTTCATGTGATTCAACTCTTTCAAAAAATCTTAGCTATTCAGAAACACACTTTAAAAACTGTCGTCAAAGGGTAAGCTCCGCCACATGCTATGTCTTTGAAAGAATAGCTAAAATTATACTCATCATGTCGAGCTTCCGTAGATGCAATAGAAAAAGGGGATCGTCGGTGTTACTACTATTTTAAAAATATCCAATCTCTACCTTTCTCTGTTAAGACTTACAAACTTTGAAATACAATATATACCATGAATACTATGGGGCTTTTGGATATCATGGACTGAGGGATAATTAACAGGCTAACATATACATAAACCTTTCCAGACACAAATGTTTATTTTATCTTCTTAAACTGAGGATAACATGTGTCATTGAAATTTACTTGAATTAACTGTAACTTATGGTACGGTATTACAGTCACGGTACAACCACAGTACGATATATTCTAGGTCAGGTATACGACATTACTTTCCACGCGTGTTGGAAGGTCGGGGCCTTGGTGATGATAACGTTTGTGACTGATAACATGAGCGTCAATCCACGTCATTGCTCTTCCGCCCTCATCTACAACAGAATCAGGAACCGGGCACCTGACTGACAAGCGGACTGATCACAGTATTTCCTGGAAACGTACCAGTCCAAACCTTACCAAATAGCAAAAAACAAGAGGAGGAGGGCTGATCTGGTAATTCCAATGCAGCCGGAACAATTCAGATTTGGGTGCATCACTTTGTTTGTGAATTTGGTCTTCAATATCAGTCATAATTCCGAATTTTAACCAAACATCGAGGTTTTAACCATATAATATGGCCCTTGATGGAATCTAACATTATAACAAACACATGTGCTGCACAGTTAAAGTAGGTCCCATCTACTACAGGTATGCGAAGATTTCATCACTGTCCTGTAAGTATGAGGAGTAATCACCATACGCACACCAAGAACTTCACTGTGACCCTCACCTTATACGTAGGTCACTCAGAAACCGTTCCGATCTGGACCCTGTCTTCGTGTTTTGAATGTTCGACGTCCTCACCGACAAACAACAATTGCTTCATTATTTTTATTTTTTTACCAAGGATACCCTCGATAATAACCTTGACTTATTACATAATTGCTTCGATAGAGATATGCATGGTATCCCGGAAATGAGACTGCAGCTGTGGTGGTCAAATTAACACGAAATTTGTATTATTTTATTATAGGATATTGATATAGCGCACATATCCACGCAAATAGTACATGGTCAAGGCGCTGGTATTTTTTCTCTCGATCAATGGATGTCAATCTCAACGGCACATCGTATTATCAGCCTCAACTCCCCGGGGATCATACGACTCTTGCAGCCACTAGGCGTTATTGCGACTTTCCATCCTTATAAGGTACCCGCTCACAGCTGGGTGGACTGGGACACACATAGTCACAATACTTTGTCCAAGTTCACTGCACGTTGCTGTACCCGCAACTAAGTGTTTGCACGTATTCATGTGGCCACCATCTGGTCATTAATCAACGGATTCGTGGGTTCTTTTAAGTGCACAGGATTGTGTTCTGTACACTAGGGTTTGTGACAACACTGAAAGAGTCTGCACACAAAGTTGGCTCCAAGGTTTTACACCCAGTCACAGGTGGCTCGATCCCGTCACCTCAAGCTCGCTGGATCACTAGCCTGGCGCCTTAGTCAGCTCGCCCACCACGCCCGAAACCTCAAAGCAAAAGTTCCATGTTGTGGGGTTACTAAAATCCCAAGTATACGGTTTCGTTACGACCTGCATGATTGATGGATATACTAGTTAGGAAAATCGAAGCAGTGTGGTCCCTTTTGGAAAACGGCTAGGAATATTTTTCAAATGACGCATAATTAAAACAGTTTTTGTTTCATATATTCAGTTATTGTAATAAAATGTTCCATAGCCTTGTCATAGAGAAGCGATTGAACACATGTCATCGGTTTCCTTTTCCGCATATCGATGTTCATGCTGTTGATCACTGGATTATCTCTTCCAGACTCGATTATTTACAGACCGCCGCCATATAGCTGGAATATTGCTGAGTGCGGCGTAAAACTAAACTCACTCACTCACTCTTGAATATGACAGCCATAGTGAAAATGGTCATTTTCGACATTTGATGTGTTGGAAGTTACGCAGGATACCAAATCAATGCCAACCCCTTGGTACACATGGATTCAGATTGCCTTTCATTGCGTTGAAAGACTCAGAGAAATACAGTCAGGCTGAATACATGAGCCTTTCTTTCGTGACCTTATACTGCCGTCAACCTTCAAAGAAATAGTATGAAAGTGAATTGGAAGGGGATTTCAAGAGACAATATCAGCATTCGAGTCTTCATGATATGTCACTCCTTTCCACATATTACAAGTGAGTGAGTGAGTTTATAGTCACAGCGGCAGTCTTTCAGTCATATCGTGACTTAAAATAGTTCATCAAAATTCATGATAAATGCGCAAATTTAAGAAAAAACTGTCGACGAAGGACAGTAAAACCAACTAGTATATCACAGTAACAAGAAATACAACTGGCATATATCTCTAAAATAGGATTTCAATTGAGGACAATAAAATATAAAAAGACTGAGGATCGCCAACAACTGAAGCTAGATCACCACTCTAGGGACCACATATTAGAAATATATTGATAATGAAGCTTGTGTGAATGTTGGCATATCTATCACAGTATATAGGTTGTCAATAGTTGAATACGTTTTCAGATATAAAAAAGTCAGCGTTCTTGTAGTGAAACAAATCCTCGTTTTGGTAGAGGTTGTTCTGTCGCATGTGACAAGCCTGTTTGTATTTTATATTTTAGCGGTATGCAATCTTTTGTGTCGCATCGCACCGGAAACAGCTTGTTTTACGTTTCAGTTTGTGATCGCAACAGCGATATTGTTTCGAGGAGTAATTTTGGGTTTCAAATCTTGCATGTCACACTTTTGTCCCCCATGGTGTAAGTTCACTCTAAATATATGTTTAATAATGATTGTTAATGAGCCTAACAAATGAAGTTTATGTGAATGTTGGCATATCTATCATTATATAGGTTGACAATAGTAACACGACACGGATCTTCTCCAACATGTTTCACTTTTGTCTTAGGGAGAAGTCATGTACTACTGTACACTCGGTAATCTCACCACTGCAAAGGCAAAAGAAACGTCTTAATATTGGAAATGACATTTAAGTATCAATGGAGTATTTGAAGCTGTTGTTTTTTTTAAAATAGACACCGGAAGTCAAGTTTGAGGAAAACATGAATTGTGGTTGTATAGCCTGTATTGCTCAATAAAGAATTGTTTGAGATTGAGGTTTGAAATGTTTTTGTTTGTGGAAAGGGAAGAGTTCGCACAAACACAACATTGAAATCGAAATGCACGTGCATCATGCATGCATTCAGGCATAAATTGCCGGCTTGAATGGCAATCGTTAACTTGTTTTCTAACCTAGCCATAGCTTCTGTGTTCAGAAGTCAATCAATCAAGCCGGCAATTTATGCTTGAATGCATACATGATGCACAGACACGTCTTCACTTTATTCATATCACTAGTCGAGTTTTTGTTTAGCATTTGTTCACACCAAAGTAAAGTAAATTATCGCTATCACAAAGACGATCCTTCATGAACGTAAAAGTTTAGTTGCTTTTTGTCATCAAGTGAAACATTACTTCTTGGGGTGGCATTATAGAGGTAAGTGCAATATTGACAAACCTTATTGACATCAACTTCTTTTATTTAGTGAGCGTTACGTTACTAGAATCTGTACTGAGACGTCAAACTCACGAAATAAAGAAGTTCTCATCCATAAAGTTTGTCAATACAAACACTCCGACCCGCAAACTGTTTATTGAAGTATTTGAAAATGGAAGAGCATGAATACATTACACATTTATGGATAAAAACCTCTATATTCTTTATCACGACGTTTCAGAGGTACTTCTTGCTTCTTCATCAAGTAAACAAGGTGGAATGTATAAATAAAGATAAGAACAGAATGGCAGTCTCGGTCTTGTTGGCCAATATTGATGAAATATATATTTTTCATGGTTTTAACGGTTCTCTGACATTTACTCTAAACTGTTTCAATATGCGGTGCTATTTGCTGTTCGATTGCATTATGTAAGACTTGAATAGACCGCTACATATAATTCAACCGGGACTGGAGGAAAGTTGCATTGATATTGACTCGCACGTGTTTTGCATTTGTTTCAGGATTTACAGTATTGTGTGCATAGGTGGAGCCTTAAGTCACTATTAGAGCACATGCTTTATATGGAACAAAAGTGTGGCCCACAATATTTTAAGTGGGCAACCAAGCTGTCGTAACTCCGAACTACTACAAGCAGTAACACCCAAGTGCAACAGCAGTTAGATAGTCATTTCGCTTCCCAAGAGTCTGGTTGATCGATCTCTATTCCGGAGTAAATCTGTGTCTGCAGGATTCACTAGACCTAGCGCTTTAAGGACGAATAGGCGAGGATCCTTGGAAGGTAATATCTATATTCATTTGCCGTGGCCCCTGTCTGAAAATATCTATGTAACCGGGACTACGTAAAGGTAACAAGTCATGCCGTCGCTTTGATTTCTTCCTTCATAGGTAAATTACAGATAGATATATGACAGTGAATCTGACTCATCCAATGATGACACCTGAATATATTCAAGATGGTCAATTCGGATTTCAAGTATAAAAAAGAACTATTTATGGTAACTGCATTGCCAGTTGTTTTCAGAATGTACTGACAGTAGTGGTGGAACATAATGTTTCGAGAGATTATGAGCTTGCTTTGACTTTCACACTTTGACTGACCCCCAGTGTGAAACAATTCTATTTCAAAAGCGGTCTTCTTTACTCGTAAGCAGGGGAAATTCTTCCACATGGTAGTCGTAATTCGTATCAACAGCTGGAGTTTCTGGTCTATCAACGGCTAGAACTAGTTACAGACTGCCTTTGCATGGCAGGAGTTCTACAGTAAGGCGTTCGGTTGAAAATAGTACTAAATACTAACATTTGTTGTGATGTATGACAAATATACCACGAAGAAATTATGCATTTATCAACATTAATAGGGAAATGCTATATATTTGGGTAAGACTACAGAATACCGGATGCCTTCAACCATCCCTGAAAGCACGCGAGTTTACTTATGGCTCGGGTAAGGTTGATGGTTAGGGTTAGGGTGACGTGACACTAAACAACATGGCTGGTAGGTATCCGGTATTCTGTAGGTGTACATATATTTGTTATCACAGCTTTTTGAAATTGTAGACAATACACAGGCACAAATAGGAGGAGTGAGTGAGTTTAGTTTTACGCCGCTCGCAGCAATGTTCCAGCTATATGGCGGCGGTCTGTAAATAATATAGTCTGACCAGGCAATCCAGTGATCAACTGCATGAGCACCGATCTGCGCAATTGAGAACCGATGACATGTGTCAACCAAGTCAGCGAGCCTGACCACCCGATCCTGTTAGTCGCACCTTGGCACAAATAGAAAATGAATAAAGCATCAACAAATACGGCAAATACATGTCTTAATTCGAGACGAGATAATCCAGAAGGTCATATGCCTTACACTTGAAATGCTGCCGAAGCAGTTATGTGACAGCACTTCCGTTGGGATATTGTGCTTACAAAAGTAAACATCCTGAAACTATAGATATAAGAAGGTTATATGTTGTACACGCTCATCACGCTTCGGTAACGTATCTCACTTTAAAAGAAATGCTTGAAAATTTGCACATGTACACATGGGATTTGCACTTCAACAAGTTTCCAAAAGTCAAATTGTGTATTGTAATCCAAAACCAATAGATATAAAGCAAAAATGCACTACTGTGTGAAGAAGTAAAGCCTTCCCGAACAGGTGGTTGTGCACTCCTTGAGTAGCTAAAATTGTACTTTTTAAGAAAGCGCAATGGACGTAAATACCCCTCCAGTTCGCAGATCCCGCAGATGTTATTCAATGAATGAAGACTTAAAACCTCACTCACTCAATGAATGTAGGTCGCTGTTACCTACCACTGAAATTAGAGTCATCACTTGTCATATATATGCACTGAAATAATGTAATGCTACATGCACAAGTCATAATATATATGCAGAGAAAGGTCATTTAAATGAAAAAAAAACAACTTTAAAAATGATCTTGATGCAATAAATACTTGGGTTACTTGCGAAAGGTTTGATCTGACCACAAAAAATGAATATGTACGGTAATAATATTTTAGCTTCGTTTGTCGGTTAACGCCGCACTGAGCGATATTCAAGCTATATGGCGGCGGTCTGTAAATAATCGAGCCTGGACCAGACATGAAGATGGATCAATGCAATTGATACGATGACATGTGTCAACCAAGTCAGCACACTAGACCAACCACAGGCAAACTGCAGCGCAAATAGGGCTGCGCAACAGAGAGAAAAATGACCAGTCTTTCTATATGCGAGCGAAGTGAGCAAAGGTTGGCAATGTACTTCCCTCGCTTCGGTTCGAAAATATTTTTGATATCAAAATAAAATATCGCCACCATCAAAGGTAGACACCCATTTCCTCACATGGTTGTGCTCTCAGATTTCCAACCTCATATTTAATAATTACTCACGTAAAATATATTTAATTCAACCTTTTAAGCGCCACTCGTGGGATATCAAATCGTTCTTCGCCTCCATTACTCCTGCCAGCCTCCGGTTCAAGTGAAGGAACAAGAATAGGCAGAAATTAAAAAGAAATATCATATTGCCTTATTTTACTATTAAATTGTTGAGGATTAGTTTTCTAATCTGCCGTCGTTACTGTTAGAATTTTCGTAACATTTATTCCACAAAAAACACTTCTGGCGTAGTGGGCGAATGAAGCAAGTATTCCATATGGCGGACATGTGATTCTTCAAGTATACTATCCCAAAACAGAAACGCATAGGCGTTTTGTATTTTAAAAAAATCTCTAAATTACCTATTGTGTTCAAACAATCGTCAAAATATGTAACAAAAATGTTGATAACATAATTTTACACAAATGCACAAGTGAAAAGTCGATTTGACCTGAAAATGTTGATTTTGATGAGATTTCTTACAAGGATTAAAAAGGCATCACCACAACGCAAAAGAAATCACATTCCAGTTGAAATTGTGCAGCAAAGAGCATGCACTGTCTGGCTATTACTTTCGGAAATCGGCATCCGTTTTGAAGGAGTTTCAAGATCAAATCACTACGCCAAATCTTGGCGCTGCGACACTGAACATCGCCATTGAAAGAATGCTGGAGATTACCAATTTTCTGTTGCCAGGCGTCTGATTGTTAGCCTGAGCACGATATCACGGCTTGCAGCTCGTTACAACCAAACAGGTATAACAAATGACCGTCCCCGTACAGGCAGACCTCGAGTCGCCACTGCAGCCCAAGATCGGTACATCCGGGTACTACATTTGCGTGATCGTACTGCCACGTGTGAGAGCACAGCAGCCAGGGTGCCTGGACTTCGGAGGTCATCCGGTCACGTGGTCACCATCGCGCTCAACGTCTCCTTTTATCTAAGATTATCCACATGGTTGTATAGCCATTACTTTCTTCTAAACTGAAGTAAAAATTCATGTCTTAAAGTCTATTTGTGGACGAGTTATGCATGTTTGAAACATTTTTCGCAACAGATTTCTGGGTTATGCGTTTCTTTTTTGGAATAGTATATATTTAGATTTTACACCCCTGTTCCTTTACTCCGTTGAACCGGAAGCTGGCAAGGGTAATGGAGGCGAAGAACGATTTGACATGCCACGAGAGGCGCTTAAACTGTTGAATTAAATATATTTTACGTGAGTAATTATTAAATATGAGATTGGACATCCGAGAGCACAACCCTGTGAGGAAATAGGTGTCTACCTTTGATGGTGGCGATATTGTAGTTTAATATTAAAACTATTTTTCGAACCGAAGCGAGGGAAGTACGTTGCCAACCTTTGCTCTCTTCGCGCGACTGGTCATTTTCTCTTTTGTTGCGCAGCCCTATTTGCGCTGCAGTTTGCCTGTGGACCAACCGATCCCGTAAGTCGCGTGTTGCGGCAATTGATTCTTTACATTACTTTATCCTTAAAAGAACCCTATAGTAATAATCTAGATACGACCTCTGACTTTCATGTAACCTGTTGGTCAAGTGTTTCTACATTTTTTGGACCTAACCGATGAAGCTTATGAAGCCTAAATGTTTGTTCCAATGGTGCCATGAATGTTAGTTGCTCACACAAGTCAGATTCGTTTTTGAACATGATGTTTACACTAACTCTGGAGATTCTCGTCTAAAGGAACACAGGTTTTAACAACCTAATAGTGTGTTATTAATTCGTAATGATCGGTGGTCAGTCTTGATGTCTTGTGTCTTGTGATTTGTTACTTATGAAAGGAGGGTGTGTTACGACGTAAATTGTAATAAAAACGCAAATTGTAATACTTGCAGCAAATTGTAATAAACTTGACGTAAATTGTAATAAAAACGTAAATTGTAATAAAAATTGACGTAAATTGTAATACGCAAATTGTAATAAAAATTGACGTAAATTGTAATAATTTTCGTTGCGGCAAAATGTAATAAATGTTTACGTAAATTGTAATAACAGTTTTAATCACTCGTAAATTCGCGGGTGTTTGTTTTTCGTTGCATTTCATACATCAAATAAGCTTGTTAGGGCGATAACTCAAGAAAGAAATGATGGATTTTGTTCAAATTTGGTACCAAGGTATATTGGCGAGATTCACCGACACAAGTGAAATGGAGTGACCTTGAGATAATTTTCAAGGTCACAGCAAAAATCTGAGGGTTTTGCCAATATAAAGATTGTTAGCGCGATAACCTTAAGAAAGAAATGACGAAAATGATATTCGTCCTGATATATAATCGATATAAACTATCCTCTGTATCATGTCTTTTCGCAAATATCTTTTGAGGTTTTGATATGTATAAATATAAAGTGGGGTGGGGTGGGGTGGGTTTTCTAACGGGTATATCAAATCAAATGAAATCAAATCAAATTAGACACTTGTATAGCGATACATATCCAGAGTCCTGCTCATGTGCGCTTAGTCGAATGCTCGTTTGAAGAGGATGGTTTTGCGACAAGATCGGAAACTGTTGATATTTTCCGATTTTCTGACATTTTCAGGTAATCAATTCCAGAGTACAGCGTCCGGTCTGCTAAATGATCTGTCTCCGTATGTTGTGGTTCGGACAAATGGAATAGCCTAGCTGACTAGCAATGAAATGTATCACAAATTAAACTTCAGGAAACAAAATATGCAAGAAACATTTTTGTATGTTTGAGATTGGTAGAGGTCGGCTAGAATCAATCTTAGATATTAAACTGCACAAAAGGGCAATTTGAAACTACAATCGCTTGTTCAAATGACTCCCCTTCGGTTTACTGAAAGAACTCGAGAAAGAAATGATGGATTTTGTTCAAATTTGGGTTTATTGAAGATTTACCGACACCACTTTATTTTAG